ATAACTTTTTAAAAGTGTAAAATAATCAAATCAAACATCCAACCAATCATAACCTCTTTTTAATCTCTTTTTTTAACCTTCTTTTACGACTTTAACTTTGTTATTTTCATAGATAATTATATTTGAAAAATAAAAAGGAAAAACAAATTACCCGATACATTTAACAATTAAATATGTGTTTGTCTAAAGAGAGATATTTTGATTGAATAACTTTTTAGAAGTGTAAAATAATCAAAATCAAACATCCATTCAATCATAGGTTTTTTTGACCCTTTTGTCCCTCATTAATTAATTAATAACCAATTTGCCCCTGATCTAGAACTATCCACCAACTTGCCCCCTTTTAGTCGACTACATTGTTTTTTTAGTCGAGTAAATGGTCAAAATGCAGAAAGTGGACTACAGCAAATTTAGTCAACTAAAAAATCATCTTAATCGACTACATTTTTGGAAAATTTAGTCGACTAAGTAACAATATTTAGTCGACTAAATATCGACGGATTTGTTTTTTAAAAACCCCCCCATTCGGCAGAGGGGGAGTAGGATGACCTAATCGACTAAGGAGGCGGCCCAAACCCCAAATCCGCAGGAGCAGCTCCCAAACCCTTCCCTCAGGCGTGTGGATTGCACCAAAATACGGTCCAAATCGTGAAATCTCAAGGATAGGTAAGGTTTCTTAACTTGCATTGTGTTTTAGGTTTTGGAATTTTTTTTATTTGTTTGCTGTCCGAATTTGTGAACTCTAATCAAAGCGTTTGTTGTAGGTTTTGTAACCCTAATCTACTAAGGTTTATTTTTTTGCATTGTGTGAATTTTTTTGTTTGAAAAATTTGTATGTGGCAAAAGTTTGCTTTTGGTTTACAGATCTTATGTTGCAAGTTTTCATTACCATCATGACATGTTTCATATAGTTAAATGCTGACATGTTTCATTGTAGGTACCCTAAACAAATGACGGGCCACAGAAGACCAAGCGATGAGGGCAATGAGTCACTTGAGAGACGCACCAAGCATAGGCAAGAGCGGCCTTCTTCGTCAAGGCCACAAGACGAAGAGCCTGATACTGTTGACCTCCCGTATGGGTATCTGTTTGAGGACGACCCTGCCGTCCACGCTTCATTCGTACGTGACCATTTGAACCGGCCGTTATGTGCTCCAAAATCTTTGGATACAGCATTTTTTGATAAGGAGGGATTTGAAATTGTGGGGGTGTTGGAGGCGGCTCATCTGAGGGTGTTGGCCGAGACCCTATGTCCGTATTCAGAGCTTATGGTGCGGGCCTTCTACCATAACCTCAGCTACGTACAGGGCGAGCTGAAGTCGAGGGTCTGTGGAATAGAGATCATCATGACGGCACCTGCATGGTTGGAGATACTTGGCTATGATTTTGACTCTTCTCATACTGTGGCGTATGACGCTGATAGTGGTGTAGTACTTCCAGGATATGTACGAGAGGATGCCGTGCAAGAGCAGAGAAGAGTCCGTGGGGAACACTTGCACTATACGGTGGGGTTGCTTTTTGTGGAGTCCCGTATACTACACTATATCCTCACCCATGTTCTGTTTCCGCGATATTTTAATCTCAGATTGTACCTAGCTTCATCAGGGTTTTCTTCAATTCCACATCTCTAAACTTAGTGTTAAAGTTGCTTCCGATGTGGCGTAGACAAAACACGTGATACACAAATGGTGGCTGCCAACCGGCATGATCTCTTACAGCCCTGATGATGCTGGGATGACGATCGGATATTAGACAAATGCCATGCTTATGCGTGACGTGAAAACGCATGAGGCTAAGAAACCACGACCAATCATCCAATCTCTCACCCGGAGGAACAATAGCAAATGCAATAGGGAGAATGTAACCATCTCCATCTTGTGACGTTGCAATCAAAAGAGTTCCTTTGTATTTACCGTACAAATGCGTGCCATCAATTTGGATTATGGGTTTACAATATTTGAAGGCCTCAATGCACTGGTGAAAGGTCCAAAATACTCAGTGAAAGACAGCCTTATCCGTATACACTCGACGTTCATCAACACATTGGTCCGTATCAATCTTGAACACAGAACCCACATTGACCTGCGTCATGTATGTCAGCCAACCAGGCAAGAATGCATACGATTTATCCCAGTCGCCAAATAACTTGACAATGGCTTTCATTTTAGCCTTCCAAGCTTTCCTGTAAGATATGTTGTATCCATACAAACGTTGTACCCTCTCTTGAATAAGAACTGGCTTCAATGATGGATCTTCTTTTAACATACCTATATAAAAAAAAAACACCGACCAACAGTCAGAATACAAACTGATTAACGTAAACATACCTTAGGAAGTTAGATATATCGAATAATACATACCGATAATGGTTGCACATATCACATCAGAATCCAACTGTCTATGATCCCGGGTAAGACCTTGGTTTAGGCAGGTGTGTTCTTTAACCCACTTACTGACCACCCAAGTATTTCCATTCTTCGGCAACAATGCCCTCACATACCAGGGACATCCATCATTATGGTGTCGACACTTCATCACAAATCTATGGTCATCACTTTTTGCCACAACGGCAGTACGATGAGCCTTCATACAATATAATTTGACTGCATGTTGCATTTCAGATTTGCTACGAAACTCCTGATACAAATATAAAGGATCCCCTAATTGCCAGCCACCGTGATCATCATCATTCTTAGAGATATTATTCAGATAGCTAGAATTCTTATAACTATAACTAGAAAACAAACTTTCTGGTTCACAGTGCTCACAAATATTCATTTTGGATTGAAACAATTTCTTATAATTTAATCCATAACAATTTTCACATTCTATCCACAAATGCTTGTACTTTTGATTTTCATCGAGATCATCGTCACCATACAATATCTCCGTCTCATCATTAGGGTGGGCCTAATTAATGAAGGAATAATGTGAGCTTTCATTCCAAAATGGCTCGACCTCAGAACCTACGGATGCATTATAATGCCACCGTCAATACCATTGATAACAAAAAAAATAATTGCTAAATTAAATCTTTAAAAAAAAAATCTTACCACTGCTAACAGGGTCAACACGAAGTGGTCTCGTAACCTGCGAACCCGGGGATGGTGAGCTTGTGTCAGCGTCGAAATCACCCTCTACGTCAGTATCTGACGTGTCACCTAGCGGAATAACACTCTCAGGTTCACCGTCCTCATCGCTGTCCATATCGGCATCCTGTTCATCCTCATCTATTTCCCGCAGTGTTATCTGACTTATGACATGTGCAGGTGCAGATAAATCGACTACTCTTTCTTCATGACCAAAATACGGTTCACTTCTTGTATGCATGGGTGCAGATGAAGATTGACCACAATCTAATTCAACATATATCTCAATAAAATTTTGAAATTTTCGGTCAACAATTGCATCTATGACACATTCGACATCTTCATCATCACATATATCGTTACCAATGTAGTAAATAGCATCCTTACCAACTGTAGTCTCTACCCTGACAATCATCCGTTGAACGCATTGGCTGCCTTGCAGACCCAATTTTTGCTGAATTCTCCCCTTTAACTCATTGTATGTAGTGCCCCGTTTGATTTTCAACATTTTCGTTTTTCCTTCAAATTGAACACTATTGGGGCCTTCATAATGCTTTCCATCATAGTAGATCATTGTTACATACATGTTTGGACTTGTGCTCATCTTCCTCACGAAATTGGGACTAGGGTTCTGAAATTGGGGGTTTGGGTTCGGTTTTTGGGGGTTTGGAATTGGGCAATGACAATGATTTCACAATATTAGGTCTGTAGAGATGGTGGGATGAAATACAATCGGATTGAGAGGATTACACATGAACAAAGGGAGCTATTTAGGTTTACACAACAACAACAATCGAAATGAGACCGAAAACATGAAAAATATAGGGTTTCAGTCGATATTTAGTCGACTAAATATCGTTACTTAGTCGACTAAATATCCCAAAAATGTAGTCGATTAAGATGATTTTTTAGTCGACTAAATTTGCTGTAGTCCACTTTCTACATTTTGACCATTTGCTCGACTAAAAAAGCAATGTAATCGACTAAAAGGGGGCAAGTTGGTGGATAGTTCTGGATCAGGGGCAAATTGGTTATTAATTAATTAATGAGAGGCAAAAAGGTCAAAAAGCCTTCAATCATAACATCTTTTTAATCTGTTTTCTCATTTTGGGACTTTAACTTCATTATCTTCATAGATAATTATATTTGAAAATAAAAAGGAAAAACAAATTACCCAATACATTTAACATACTATTAAATGTGTGTTTGTTTAATTTATTTTATGGACAAATGTTTTTTTATATCACATGAGATGAAATTATCTCCTACAACTTCAAAATAAAGGGAATAACACCTGTCATTCTAAAGGATATAAGCTTATATTATTTTAGATACTAACCGTTGATTTTCCTCCATCAACGGTTATAATTTATTGGATCAAAATTATTAACTAATTAATAATAAATTTGGCCCATTAAGTTTGTCCCAATAGATTATAACCGTTGATGGACAGAAATTAACGGTTAGGATCTAAAATAATATAAGTTTATATCCTTTAAAATGATAGATATTTTTTCCCAAAATATATTACTCTTGGATTTTATTTTTTTTAAATACGACATTTTAAAAAAATTAGTTTTGTTATGACAATTTTTTTAAAATATTATGTATTTTTTCCTAAATATTTTGAGGTTTTCAAGAAATAACTTCGTCTTTTTATAAAGGAGAAACACTGAATCATTCATTTTATATTTTAAATAATTTAAATTTGTAAAAGAAAAATAATCATAATCAAAGATGCACTAAAAATGAATTCGTTTAAGCAAAAAGATAAATAAGATTGGGCTATGAAATAGCCTTTCCATCAGGCCCAACCCAGCCCAAACTCACTCACAATTGTGGGCATTGATTAGCCTTTCGAAGATAAAAACGGCGTCGTCACGTTACGACGAAGATTTTGTAACAAATGCCAGCAGTAAAGTAACGGCGAAATGCAAAGTGTTCTCATTTCTCCGTGAGAGTGTTGGTGCGCAATCCAATGTGGGCAGTTCTACGAGCTCGAACGTGGTCGCGTTCTTCGTCGAATTCACTGGCCCTTCTTCAACCATGGAAGCTAGGGTTTTCAACTTCGTCCGCCGTTGACGGCGGCGTCAATAAATGCATTCTGGATCTGCAGGAGATCGAGAAGGTTCTAACGGACGTTAAAGCTGACGACGTGAAGGTGATACCGGTTCCCAAGCACTGCGATTGGGCTGATTTCATGGTTCTTGCTACTGGCAGGTCCACCTGGCACGTCAAAAATATCGCTCAAGCCCTAATTTACAAGGCAGGTTCGTTCGTTCTTTTACACTATTATGTTCTTAATTGAACTTTCAGAAACTGAAAAACAGTTTCGATTTTCTTTTTTTCTGCAATTTTTATTATTATTGTAATATTTTGGCTTAACCAGGCTAAGCAGAAGCAGAAAGGAACTGAACGAATGATGCTACCCAGTGTGGAAGGGCAAGCAGGGGGAAAGTGGATCGTCATTGATTCTGGTATTTCGTGCTTTTATCTTTGCTTCATATCCATTAATTTCGTTTAATTTAGAAAAATCCACGAGTTTAGAAGAACTCTTAAAATGCTCACATCAGAGAGCTACTTCTGCAGCTTACGTGGATGCTCATCGATCCTAACTAATTCCATCGTAGTTAGTTAGTTAGTTAGTAACGGCTATTTACACGATTGTTAGGTTGTTGAGCCTGTAACTGTAACCTTTTGTGTATATTAGCACTACTCTGCAAATTCCATTGTTCAGACTTCAAAGCATCCTGTTGCTAGAAAAGGAATCATCAAGGAAAAAAAATTAGGGATGTGCATTGGTCGAACGAACTGGATTTTTTGAAAAATCGAACTGAATTGGTTTAAATGGTTAAGCTCGGAAGTGGTTTGGTTTGGTTCAAAACTGATTCGGTTCGGAAGTAGTTCGGTTCGGTTGCAAACGGTTCGGTTTGGAACCGATTCGGGTCGACCCTTTTTTGAAATGAAAAAAAAAATAAATTAAAAAATAATGTTATAAAAATCAATTTGGTTTGGTTTGAAAACGGTTCGATTCGGTTCAAAATGGTTCGGTTCTTAAACTGGTTTTAAAAACCGGTTCGGTTCACGAACTGGTTTTTAAAAACCAATTATTTTAAGGGCGGTTCGGTTCATGGTTCGGTTCAGTTTTTTGGTTATTTTGCACATCCCTAAAAAAATTGTCGCTTGATTTTGAGTTTAATAGTTCCTTTCCCTGTCACTTTTCAGCTAAAGAGCAAATTTTCTTCCAATCTCTTATTAGATAATGTATGATATTCTGGATTAGTTAAAGTTTCTGGTTTTTGGTTATGAAAAAGATTTCAATCTGTTATGTGGTTTTTTGGTTCTAAACATGCTTTGTTTCTTCATTACTGATTCATTTCTGTTGGTTCAGGTAAAGTGATAGTTCATGCACTTGATGAAAAGGCTAGAGCTTACTACAATTTGGAGGGTCTTTGGACCCCAGGGACATTGCAAAATGAACCTGTTGAGGTAAATTTGAGGCTAACTTATGTTGTTCCAAGTTCTCTTTATTTAATCCAAGATATTTGAAGTTTGTGGAATCATTTTGGAAGCAACTAATTTTCATTTAAGTGGGCTTTGTTCTATTACTTTGTCCATGGGAAATTAATATAAATCTTGAGAACTGCAGCCATAAAATATATGCTACTTTACATTGTTATTGTTAATCTTATGAACTGTTTTCATCTTTCATTGGATTTTGCTAAAGGCTAGGCTATATTGTGCAAGCTTTTACCGTTGAAATCTGGACTTGGCTTGGCTTGTAAGTTGGCTGACCGAAATTTGAAAACCATTAATTGAGAATTCACAATTTATATCTTCTATGTTTCTGGTCGGAAACTGTTGGGAAAACTCGGTTCCCTCAAGCTCGGCTCAGGGGCCTTTTGTGCGGAAGTCAATCAACAAGATCCTGATCTCGGATCTCGGTAATACCTCGGCCTGAACTTCACCAGGTTAGGCAGCGCAGCAGAAAAATCAAAACGTAAACACAGGAGAGAGAGAGAAGAAGAACACAACCAGATTTAACGTGGGAAAACCTTCTTGAATGAAGAAGTAAAAACTCACGGGACCTAGTCCAGATCAGAAATCCACTATGAAAATAATGGTTACAACGAATCAAATACACCAATGTGATGGTTAACTCAACCTCTCCAACAATGGTGATAATCAAACTACCCTAGAGATGTTTCACTCAAACTCTCTCTAGAGATCTCTCAAATGCAAAGCATAAAGCCTTGCTCAAACAATCAAATAATTCTCTCAAATTTGTTCTCTCAAATCTGACCTAGCCTCCACCCTCAACTAATGAGTATATATAGAGGAGATGGAAATTAGGGTTAGGGTTTTTAGGAAACCCCTCAAATGGGCTTGGGCTTAGTATTGAAGGAGGAAGCCCAACAAATCTCCCCCTCCGACTTCAATGCGTCGGCTTCAGCATCAACCCGGCTCCTTCACAGCAGTCTTCAAATTTTCTTGCTGGAACCGGCTTCGTCATCATGTCGGACCAATTTTGGTCAGTGTGCACCTTGACGAGTTCGAGCTCTCCACCTTCCACCACATCCCGGATCCAGTGATACCTCACGTCAATATGCTTAGTGCGGGAGTGATAGGTCGAATTCTTCGCAAGATGGATTGCGCTTTGATTGTCACAACCCAGCTCGTACTTGTCTTGATCATGGCCAAGTTCCATGAGGAACTTCTTCATCCACAGCATCTCTTTGCTTGCCTCAGTAGCGGCAATGTACTCAGCCTCAGTTGTTGATAGTGCAACACATTTCTGAAGTCTTGATTGCCAAGAGACAGCTCCTCCGGCAAATCTCATCATGTATCCCGTCGTCGACTTCCTCGAGTCGAAATCTCCCCCTAAATCAGAATCCGAGTAGCCTTGCAACTCGGCTTTGCCTTCTCCAAATCGGAGACATAAGTCGGTTGTACCTCGGAGGTACTTGAAGATCCACTTCACTGCTTCCCAGTGCTCTTTGCCGGGGTTTGACAAATACCGGCTTACCATTCCAACAGCATACGCCAAGTCGGGTCTAGTGCAAACCATTGCATACATCAAGCTTCCGACGGCGGATTGGTATGGGACCTTCATCATTTCATCTTTGTCTTCATCAGATCTCGGACATTGCTTCTGGTTCAGCTTTATGTGTCCGGCTAGGGGGGTGCTCACTGTTTTGGCTTTGTCCATGCTGAATCTCTTCAAAATCTTCTCAATATATTTCTCTTGACTCAGCCACAGTAGCTTCTTCTGTCTATCTCGGATAATCTTTATTCCGAGAATCTGCTTTGCAGGGCCGAGGTCCTTCATTGCGAAGGACGAGCTCAACGCCTTTTTCAGGGCGGCTATCCTCGATTTATCTTTCCCTACAATAAGCATGTCGTCAACATATAACAACAAAATCAGAAAATCTTCGGCCTCATACCTCTTCACAAATACGCAGTGGTCGGCATCTGTCTTTTCAAACTTATGATCAGTCATGAATGATTCAAACTTCTTGTACCACTGCCGAGGTGCTTGCTTCAAGCCATAGAGGCTCTTTTTCAAACGACATACCAAGTCTTCTTGGTCTGGAGCTTGGAATCCTTCAGGTTGCTCCATATATATTTCTTCTTCTAAGTCACCGTAAAGAAATGCCGTCTTCACGTCCATTTGTTCTACCTCGAGGTCCATTGAAGCCGCCATGGCTGAAACGGTTCGGACCGAGGTCATTTTCACCACAGGAGAAAAAATCTCCTCAAAATCAACTCCTTTCTTCTGATTGCAGCCTTTCACTACAATCCGGGCTTTGTATCTCGGCTTTTGCCCGTTCTCTTCATTCTTAATCTTGTAGACCCATTTATTCTTCAAAGTTCGTCTTCCTTTAGGCAACTCGGTCAGCTCATAAGTCTGATTCTCGTGCGGAGACTTCATCTCGTCTCGCATTGCCTTTTCCCATTCTTCTTTCTCTGAGCTAGTCACAGCCTCATCATAACTCTGAGGCTCACCGTCTTCAGCAACAACGGTGTATTCATCAGATGGGTATCTTGTAGAGGGTCTTCTTTCTCGAGTTGGATATCTCGGCTGTTCTTCAGCTTGAGGACCCGGTTCATCATTCTCATCCCGGATCTCATCATCAACTCGGACCTCAATGTCTTGGTCATCTTCAGCTTGTTGCTGGTCATCAATTTCTTCATTCTCTTGATTTTCTCCCCCTGCTTCAGCTCGGACAGGAGGGATGGGTTCTTCACGTCTGACAGTAACCCGGACTTTGGGCTTCGAGATGTCATGAATGTTCTCATGCTCATGAAAGATCACATCTCGGCTTCTAACGATCTTCTTATTGATGGGATCCCAAAGTCGGAACCCGAACTCGGATTTCGGTGAACCGAGATAGATGCATTCTTTTGTCTTTGCATCAAGTTTGGCCCTTTCATCTTTAGGGATATGCACGAAAGCTCGGCATCCAAACACTTTCAGTTGATTATAGGCCGCTTTCCGACCTGTCCAGACTTCTTCTGGAATTTCTCCTTCAAGTGGCCGTGATGGTGAGAGGTTGATCAAGTCAACAGCAGTTTTGACGGCTTCTCCCCATAATGATTTCGGCAAACCGGCATTGGATAACATGCTTCGGACCTTCTCTTCAATAGTTCTGTTCATCCTCTCAGCAAGTCCATTCAACTGTGGAGTCTTGGGGGGCGTCTTCTCAAGTCGAATCCCGGCCTCTCTGCAGTATGCATCAAATAGGCCGCAATACTCACCACCATTATCAGATCGGACCACCTTCAATTTCTTGCCAGTCTCCCTTTCAACCATAGCATGGAATTCTTTAAAGGATTGGAGTACCTGGTCTTTAGTCTTCAACAAATATACCCACACTTTGCGGGAATGGTCATCAATAAATGAAATAAAATACTGAGCTCCTCCAAGAGATTTCTCCGACATGGAGCAGACATCAGTATGGACGAGGTCAAGAATATACCTGCGTCGTCTAGGTTGATCCGGTCTCACAAAAGAAACCCGGTGCTGCTTTCCAGCTAAGCAGTGCGTGCAATTCTCCAACGCTTGGCCTTTCAACCCGGTCAGTAATCCTTTCTTGTTCAGGATCTGTAGCCCTTTCTCACTCATGTGGCCGAGGCGCTTGTGCCATAGCTCCAAGCTAGGTTCATCTCGAACAGAATTGGCTTCTCCGCCATTGATCTTTCCTTGCATCACGTACAAGGATCCTTCCTTCTTACCTCGGGCCACGACCAAGTTTCCCTTGGCCAGCTTCCATCTAACACTACCGAAGTAGTTCACTAACCCGGAATCATCAAGTTTGCCTACCGAGATTAGGTTCAAACGCATGTCAGGAACATGTCTCACATCTTTCAACACAAGGCGGCATCCGACATCTGTGGTCAGAGTTACATCGCCGACACCAACAATCTTGCTGGTCACCTGATTTCCCATCTTCACGACACCAAAATCACCACCTCGGTAAGAGGAGAAAAAACCTTTGTGTGGAGTAACGTGGAAGGAGGCACCAGAGTCAACAATCCAGGTGCAATCATCACATGCAACATTCAAATAATTATCCTCACCAAGGAGGAATATCTCCGCATCAGGATTTGCAGCCACCGCAGTGGTGCTCTTGTCTTCCCTCTTCTTGGGAATAATCTGATCCGGCTTCACAGAGCCGTTCTTCTCATCATTCTGTAGGGTCCAGCAGTCTGGCTTCTTATGGCCTGTCTTTCCACAGTAAAAGCACTTCAACTCATATTTCGGCTTTGACCGACCTCTGGACTTGTCTCGTCTGTCACGACCTCTACCTCGGCTTTTGCTTCTACCGCGGGAGTCAGATTTCCCTTTTTTCTCAGCAACGTTGGCCTCAGACGTACTCGAAGTGCCTCGTTCTCTTCTCCTGGATTCTTCGCCCAGGAGGCTGTCTGTCACGACATCCATCTTCAATTTTCCATCTGGAGTCGAGTTATTCAGGGTAACCACCAGAGTATCCCAGCTTTCTGGCAGCGAGCTCAACAGCAGCAATGCCTGCAGTTCTTCATCAATTTTCATATCAGCCTTTGACAGCTGATTCACAATACCTTTGTAGGTGTTCAGGTGTTCAATCATGCTCATGCCGTCCTTGTATTCAAGCTTAACAAGTCGGCGAACCAGGTGTGCTTTGTTCCTGGGAGTCTTCTTCTGAATCATGGACTCTAATTTCGTCCACAACTCATACGCGTTCGTGAATTCGAACACGTGCTCAAAGAGGCTTTTATCAATATATTTCCTGATCGTGGCTACCGCCTTCCGACTCAGGATGTCCCACTCCTTATCTGTTTTGCATGCTGGTCTCTCATCAAGGATGTCTCATGCAAATCTTTGCAGTAGAGATGATCTTCTATCATCGGTCTCCAATATGTGAAATTATCTGCAGTCAACTTGAACATATCTCCATCATGAGTTATGCCACTGGTCTCCATCTCGTCTCCCTCAGAACCCGTCGAACTCGGGCTCTGATACCACTGTTGGGAAAACTCGGTTCCCTCAAGCTCGGCTCAGGGGCCTTTTGTGCGGAAGTCAATCAACAAGATCCTGATCTCGGATCTCGGTAATACCTCGGCCTGAATTTCACCAGGTCAGGCGGCGCAGCGGAAAAATCAAAACGTAAACACAGGAGAGAGAGAAGAAGAACACAACCAGATTTAACATGGGAAAACCTTCTTGAATGAAGAAGAAAAAACCCACGGGACCTAGTCCAGATCAGAAATCCACTATGAAAATAATGGTTACAACGAATCAAATACACCAATGTGGTGGTTAACTCAACCTCTCCAACAATGGTGATAATCAAACTACCCTAGAGATGTTTCACTCAAACTCTCTCTAGAGATCTCTCAAATGCAAAGCATAAAGCCTTGCTCAAACAATCAAATAATTCTCTCAAATTTGTTCTCTCAAATCTGACCTAGCCTCCACCCTCAACTAATGAGTATATATAGAGGAGATGGAAATTAGGGTTAGGGTTTTTAGGAAACCCCTCAAATGGGCTTGGGCTTAGTATTGAAGGAGGAAGCCTAACAATAGCATGTTCAATTCCGTTTATTACTTAGATTTATACTATGATATCCAAATGCCGAGTCTTCTTACTTAGATTTATACTATGATATCCAAATGCCGAGTCTTCCGTTTATTAATTGATTTGAATGGTTTCCTCTTTTCTATGGTTTTAGGATTTACAAAAGGCTCTTGTGAAGATTCGTCGGAAAAACAATTCGAAGAAACCTGCACAAAGGAATGCTTAATTGCTGCAAATAACCTTTATTAACTCTAGTTTGTGGCTTTGCATCAGATGTAAACAATGTAGTAATTTGTAAAAGCACGTCAGCTTTCTGATCTATTATTTTACTTGTTCTTAGCACAAACTTTGTCAGGTTGTCCTGTTTGCTGCAATGTTAAAGTTAGAGGACGTAAATCTGAAGTTTTCATGTTCTCCTACCCAGAACCGTCTCTGTTCTATTTAGTTATGATGTTCATTGGTTACTGGAGCTTGACCATTTTCTACTATTCATAATAGAGATGTGAATACAATAAACTTTTTGAGACAAATAGAAAATTGAAATTTACTTCTTTTATTTCTTTGTTTTGTTATAAACAGAAACGTTGCTATCATATATGATACGGTTTACATTGAAGTTAGACATTTACGTCGTCATTATTTTGACATTCATCTTGTTTTAAAGGAGTAGGATGCTTCCATTTCACATCTTTTTAGGAAAACAAACCAGTGTGCAAACTTCCTCCAACATTATCTTTTTCCCCATTTTTTGTAAGAATATTTTTATTAAACATGCAACAAGAAGCGGAGAACTTTGAATATAGCAAGCTGACATGCAACTAGCGAGTCTATGAGAGCATTAATAGTAGTCCCGGTGCAACTAATCCTTCTGTTGAGGAGTTGTCGTTTGGAGAAAAAAACAAAATTTTTCCTTTGTACAAACAAGTCAAAAAATACTTAATTTTCATTGACTGATACCATTGAATTATAAATGAGTCGAGATCATATTAAATATTTCCCAAGCCTAGATCCAAACTCAAAGCATCTCGTTGTTGTACACCCTTCGTTTTGTTTCCTGGTACAAGGGTACCCATAGAACGAAGAAAGCTTAATCTCTACAAATGGAGCTTGAGTGAATTGATGTTTTGTTCTTGGCATATCCTTGTCCCACTCTTACTGCCCAATAACCAGCCTATTATTAGCTTCAGGCATGCCGTGCCTGAAAGAATAGATGACTCTCAGATTGATTTCGATATCAAGAAGCATAAATTGGAAAATCAGTATTCAATATTGAGGGACAATCCTTTTAGACCTGATCATTTTTTATTGTGATCTTTACTTTGAATTTAGTTTTTCGCTTTTATCTCATATGTATTTCAGTTATGTGCTTTCCATGAATTTTCTTTTCCTCAGATAAAAATAATATTCTCCTTTATCTTTTTTTGTGCATTAAAAAAAAAAGGAGAGGGATATATGATGGTTTGAACTATTTTGTGAAATTATAACATATACGTATCAAGTAATTAGTAAAAGATAAAAAAAATGTGAAATACTTTTACCTTATTCAAATGCGTCAGATCTAAATTCAAATTTTAATAAATTGATTTTATAATTTACACATTGTTATCAATCCTTTTCTTTTTTTATATTTAAATAATATAAAAATATATATATACTCTCATGTTGTATGAGATTCATCTTTCATATTAATTTTTTTTTCTTTTTAATATTGGTGGGTTTTACTTTGTTTATCTCCAAACATAGAAACAACGACTAAAATGTCATTTTATGATAATTTTTTGTCCAAATATCACGCGAAGAGTACTTTTTATCAGACTGTCACATCATGTACTTCGCTATGACTGATAGCAAATTTTGTCGCTTAGTATTTCGTGACACGTGATCATATTACATACTAAATTCCTTACCACTAGTATCGAACTTTATCCAGTCAACTTTTTTCTGTGAAAATATACTATTTGTTATAAAATTATTGATGAACGTAATTCTTTACCAATCGTAACGAATTACATCGCAAATAAAAAATATTGTTCATGTTCTTGTAACATTTGAATAAAACATTTGCAGAACAATAACAATTTCCTCAATGTAGCTCAAACATAACATAACTTCTCTCTTGTTACATACACGACTACATACACGACTGTAGTAAAATCCTATAAAAAAAAAGCAAAATATATTTTTGCAGTTAATGCAGATAAGTTGTCTGCATTTATTCCTAAAACGATATCATTTTGGTATTGAAATCTTAAAAAATTATAAATATAAAGACTATTATAACCTGAAATAAATAAAATTACAAAAATATCATAATTTCTACTCGAAAACAATATCATATTAAACTTACTACATGTAACTTATCTCACTGCCTGAAAAAAAAAAAAACAAAACGAACCCATCAAAAAATTGGCAAATACTGAGTAGGTTAGACACGGGATTTAGGTAAACGGATGTAACAATTCTTATCCAACTCTTCACTCCAAAGTCACAATGAAAGCGATGCTCCTCACTAGAAGGGAATTGAACTTACATTTTCACCCTTGACAGTGGCGCAATATCAGGGCCCACACGGTAATTAACCGTCCTCGTCTCACAGACCTGTCACTTTGTTTGCATCGCCCGCTCATTAGCTGCATTCTCACTCTCCGGAGCCCCCAAAGCACTAACAAAAACGCAACCGAATTCAGTTTTAAAAACCGCAAACTACTGTCACTCTGATTCATATTCTCTCTGGCTTCTTCCATTTTCGCTTTTCGTAGCTTTTTCGTATCAATCATGGCTTCTCTTGCCGGATCCAATTGCGTCGCTTTCCGAACCGCCAACTTCGGCGCCTCCGGTAACCGGAAAATTGGTCAGATCCGGCAATGGTCTCCGATTATGACTCAGCGCCGTCTCCTTTCTGGTGTTCGTTACGTTTCGAATACTTCGTTTAGCTCCTCCGGTACCGATCTTCCTTTTTGCTTTTCAATAATTTTCTTTTGAATTTTTTTTTTCAGTTTTGCTAATTTGAGACGCGCAACTGCAGGTGTGAGAGCACAGGTTGCTACACTGGAGGAAGCGGGAACTGGAGCAGCTCAGAAAGTGGAAGCGCCGGTTGTAGTAGTAACCGGAGCCTCCAGAGGTATTGGCCGAGCAATTGCACTGTCGTTGGGTAAAGCAGGTTGCAAGGTTAGTCGTTGCAAACCATCGAGCATAAACTGATGATGAATGATTCGTTGTTGTTAAAAAATAAAAAAAAAGGATAACAATTATTTTTGGTGAATTTTACGTAGTGTATCTGTAACTTGTTCACAAATTATTGTTTTCAGCGTTGCAATTTAAGTTACTTAAACTTACTTTTGGTTGTTCATGCAAAAGTAATGATGTGCAATTTGATTTACTTAAACTTATTTATTTTTAAAATTAACTCATAAAAAATCTGCTCTGGCATTAATGATGCACTATTGACGATCCAAGTTGGATTGCCAGGTTCTCTTGTTAAATCTATTTTTTCATTTTCTGTATAGGGCATTGGAACTCTCCTTATAACAAGTTTTAGTTTCTGATTCTCCATTGCTCTGATTTACTTTTGAATCCTGATGTTCAGTTATTTGGGCTTTATATTGCAGGTCCTGGTTAACTACGCAAGGTCATCCAAGGAAGCCGAGGAGGTTTGCAAGGAGGTAGAGAACTGCCTTCTGAAATTTGTGTGATTATTTGTCTGTGCATTGTTGCCATTTATGTCATTTAGTTTTTGAGCCAATCTCATATTGGGACCATGATTAAAATATATATGCATAACACAAGCCTGAAATCCTATGTGGTTACTTTGAATCTTTCATACGTTTTCTTCACAGGCAATATACTCAAGACCGAGATATCCTACAATATCACCCTATTTGTTAGTACAATTGTTAGCAAATTCCTTGTGTCCCAGTATTCTGTACGATTAAGTTGGCGGTAGCATGCTAGATGCTTGCCTCTCTATGATTTTACAGTTTCCTTGAAGTTTAAGGTTTGATGTTTGTCTTTGTCCTTTCCTTTCCCCAGGAGAAAGTAGTGTAAAGTGTTATAGTGCTAAGGATGCGAACATACAACTTCATCAATGCAATGCATCTACATGATAAATTGATAATGAATGTTTGTGTCCCAATGGCCAAGCCAAAGTTGTTGATCATTCTGTATTTTTTTTTTTCAGCTGGGATTTCGTGGTCTTTTTTCTTTTGTGCTGTGTTTTGTTCTTTATAAAGTTGTAGGTGAAATTGATAAAAAAAACACAATTAATGTTAAAGGCTCAGTTTCTGAAGAAAATTACTGCAGTGTTTTCCTTATGTAACTTTTTAGTTCACTGTCATTTTTATCACCATATTTCGGTGTGGTTGTAGTTAGATGTTATGTTGACCCACACATGAGCACATTTGTAGCTTATTTTACTTATGATATCAACTCTTATCATCTGTATTATTTATACATTGGTGTTCAAGCTAGGTTACTGTGATTGACTGAATAACATTAATTTGTTTGACAATTCCATGTAGGTTGAGGCACTTGGTGGACAAGCTCTTACATTTGGTGGAGATGTTTCTAACGAGGCTGATGTGGAGTCTATGATTAAAACTGTAAGCAGCTACTCTTGAATTATTAGATTGACATATTTCTACCTCGGCTGCTTCATGAATTTCTCATCTGCAGGCAACTGATGCTTGGGGAACTGTTGATGTATTGATAAACAATGCAGGTAAGTTGGAAAGCTCTTGTAATTGTGCTAGCCTCTCTCTCTCTCTCTCTCTCTCTCTCTCTCTCTCTCTCTTCCTCATACTCAAATAAAGCTATTATGGTTCCAGGAATAACTAGAGATGGTCTATTAATGAGAATGAAGAAATCTCAATGGCAGGATGTTATCGATCTAAATCTCACTGGTGTTTTTCTTTGCACACAGGTAAGAATGTTCAAAATTTGACTTCATGTTAAATTAAGTTTTGCTTTTCTTTTTAATCAGATCTGAGATGGTTTATTTTTTGCAGGCAGCGGCCAAGATTATGATGAAGAAGAAAAAGGTGACATCACACTTAATTATTTTTTTCCTTCTTTTCTTATGATTTTTTTTTCTTGAATCCTCGGTAATAAGTTTTCCAATTTATGAAATTGACCACTCAAGTGATTAAATTAACAACTGGATACTCATTCACCATTCTTTGAACATCATTAATCCGTTAAGTGATTGATTGTTTCTAATGTGGAAATATTTTTACAAACAGTTCCTTTTTGTAAATTCTCAAGATTAATCCGACTCTTTGTAATGTTCAGTCCATTGCTATCTTATCTCATGATTTGCAAGTACTAAGCTCTCTACTTTCATATCTCAATACTTGTATTTATGCAGGGGAGGATAATCAATATTGCATCAGTTGTTGGTTTGGTTGGCAATGCTGGACAAGCCAATTATAGTGCTGCAAAAGCAGGAGTAATTGGCCTGACAAAAACTGTTGCAAAGGAATATGCTAGCAGAAGCATCACTGTAATTTTCTAAAATCTATGCATTTCTTCCTGATATCTAAGATGTGGGTTATCGGTTTATGGAATTAACTAAAACCTAGTTTTTCTTGCCAGGTTAATGCAGTTGCCCCAGGGTTTATCGCATCTGACATGACTGCCAAGCTAGGAGAAGACATTGAGAAAAAGATTTTGGAGACAATCCCGTTAGGTGAACACAGAAAATACTTTAGTGAAAGTTTTAATTTGTTGTAGATGTTGATAACTTACTATTTCCACCTTGGAATTTTCAGGAAGATATGGCCAACCAGAAGAAGTTGCTGGACTGGTGGAATTCTTGGCTCTGAGTCATGCTGCCAGTTACATCACTGGACAGGTCATTTATTTATTTCCCTATTCTTTTTCTTTTTTTTAAAGAACTACCTGATTAGACTATCCAACCTCTCATTGTAATTCATCTTTTAGGTTCTGTGACTTCTATTTTTTCCCTGTATTTCCTTTCCTTTCTTTCTTTCTTTTTTTTTTTTTTTTGGGGGGGGGGGGGGGGGGGGTAAGTAAAACCTGGATTTCTTTTTCTACTCATCACTTATTTAGACTAGAGTTGTTAATTACTGTGTTGCAGGTTCTCACCATTGATGGAGGTATGGTGATGTAAATCAGCAATCCGAGCTTCTGCACTTCAGTCGGAGTTCATCCTAATGGCTTTCAACTGCTGCTGTACTGTGTTAGTTATATCCTTGCTGAGTTTTGCTTAAGCTAGTTCTACCTTGTCTTTATGTAGTAGAATCTTAGTTAAGCTTATTGATGAAATCAAAGGTGTTTTGCAAGCTTCTTCTTGGGCTGTGTTCCACATCTTGCTGCATTTTGATGAATGCTTGTGGTCATGTACGCATGTTAGCAGAATAGGCATAATTCTTATATTTTACGCAATTTAGCCACATTGAGCTTTAGCTTTCCTTGTTGGATGTGCTGTGCGGGGAACTGGCTTATTTATGCATTTTGATTATTCTCTGATTACAAACAATAAATCCAAAAAAGTAAAAGAGATCACAACTGCACAAATGTACCGGTAACTTCATTATAGTTTAGAATTGAACTTTATATTCTTTATGACACCCATCAAGGTTGTTGTCCCCCGAGCGATAAGACAATTAGTTAGTAGCTCATTGAATTACGTGGTTTATTTCTCATGGAAATGGGTAAAAAAAAATTGAGAAATGATTTTTTCTTACACTGGAAAATTTGACGATTCTTTCTAGACCAGTCACTTTCAATATAATAAGGCAGAAAACAAAATTTAATATACAAAACACAATATACCGTCTAAAGTTGCCAGTGCAAACAGGTAACTTGTGCATTCGTAGCAGCTGGCAAAACAAAACAGCGATGTCGCAACAGGACAACTATTTTAACAGTTTTCGTGACAAACTTTTGTCCGAGGTTAAAAGTTATTTTATATATAAGGTGCCCGAAGAAATTTTCCTTTGTAACAGTGACGAGGTAAATTCAGCGGTTATCTAAGGTGTTCTGAACTAATATTCAAATGCCGACAATTGAAGCGTTAATTTTGTCGGGACCTCCACAATAATCAAGCTCTACAAAAGTACCCCCTCCTTCTCCCTTGGCCAGTCTTCCAGGATTGACTGCAATGCATTTGATGTGGTTCATCCCTTCACTTTCGCTATTAAGTACCTGCGCAGTGGTGAATAATTTCTAAATGTTACTGTAACAAAATAGCATTCAACACTCTTTTCTGGCATGCCTGATCCACGGCTTATTTGATAGTTTGAGGAAAACGAAAAGCGTCTAGGTAAAGACAATCATTTACCTTGACAAAGTACTTGATGTCTGAGGGTAAAATAAGAACATCTGGAACCAATGAGAGTTGAAGGGCTTCTGGAGCAAGAGAAAAGTCCAAGGGAACACTTTCTGCCGGAGGGTAAAGTGGATAGAAGCTGACTCAAAAATTGAACAACATCAATTGTTTCTGATGATTTTTGAACCTAACATCGAGCACAAAAATCACAGGATAGCAGTATTACCTTCGTTGGTTAAGAATATGGTTTGCAAGTCTACTCATGCGATCAATAGGTTTTCCATCTTTTGCAGTCCGTGATATCTCTTCCCCACTCACCTGCTTGAGAATATCCACCGTGCAGCAACCAACTTTGACCTGAAACCCAATCTTGAATGAAAATACTTCTGACATGTTCCTTTCCAGACACAGCATCTAACTAAACCCTATGACTCTAATTTTTACTTCTTTTGGTTGAAAATAAAATCAGAAGTGGCAAAAGAAACCTACAAGAATCTCCTTGAGCATATTGTGTAAGCGTAAGACTGACGAGATGTGAACTAGAAATTTCTCAACCTATAGCTAAGGTTTCGTAACAAATGTTTCTTGTGTGTCGGTCAGATTTTTTATTTAAGAAAGTCCAGACTATAAAGTGATCGCCGATGATGTACCTCATTTGCCTCGAAGATTCCAGGATTAGGGAGACTGACTATCTGAATATTAAAATCAAATAATTATGTAAGCATCACTGCTAATGGTGAATGATATTCCGCTAGTACAAGCAACAGTTCTGCAGATTAATTCCTAATGCTTTAAAATCATTATACCTGAGATTTGAGATCAGGTAGATTGATATCAAATGCAGGCTGCAAAAACAAATGATTGAAATTAATTTTTGGATCTATGATTAGAGTAAATTAATACAATGGCTAATATATCTAGAGGAAAAATCACTATATCCTGTATTCAAAAAAAAAAAAAAAAATCACTATATCCTAGTTGATTCAATTTTATCAGTACCTGAGGAAAAACAAAATCGTGGTTAGCATCCCGTATAGATGGTACAAGAAGAACACGTGCTGCTGAACCCATACATTCTACATACTCTTCCAACTGGGAACAGCGAGTGCACCAAGGAGGGGGGGGGGGGGGGTTAGAAAAGAGCAAAAAAAATTCCAAAAACATATCCAACTATTAAAGCTATTACCTTCCTCAGAATTTCAAACTGAAATATTTCATCAAAGCTCCTGTCCACGGTTCCTTTCTTAATGTCTGGGTGTTCAGAGTCAATAAATGGTCCCAGCTGAAACAAAATCCAGTTGTCAACATCATCAAGTTTGCACCCATAGATGATCTAGCATATATTGTCCAGGACCTAAAAGCATAATAATGATTAAAGGATGCAGATTGCAGTATAGTTGGTATTTACCAATACAAGCAACTGTGTCGGTCTTCGCTTTGCATATGCTAGCAGTTCTATAAGAGGCTCAAACAACAAATTGTCTGTGGTAGTAAAAGGGCCTGCTGCAATAATCTGTTAAACACCAAGAGCATATGTACATATAAATTACTAACACAAATGCAGTAAGTATAGGATTATAACAAAAATATTTGAAAAGGAGCCTGCAATCTTTGAAAATCTATAATATCTCGACTGCAACTTTGTGCAAAGAAATGGAAACAAGATTTTAAGTGTTGCACGAGTGCCTTATGATCATTCCTTGGCTAACTAACTAAGATGTTATACATTTTTTCGTTGTTAAAAATGAATCTTCAGTAAAAATGTTAAAGAAATTTTTTTCAATGTTCTGAAATAACTAATTAATGAAATCTAGTGCACAACATAGTTTTCAGCAGAACTTGTTGACTACCAAAAAAATAATAGATGCATACCATCGATAAATCTCTCTGTTTAGAAAGCAGATCAGTTGGCTGATTTTCCCTATCAATAGCTTGCTTCTTTGCGGGATTCAAATCCTCCTCAGCAACAGAGGTAGGTATAGAATCCACCAATTTAGATGCAACTAAGCAATGCCCACTAGGATTATGCCCTCCAATACCAACTACCTATCAAGATAAAATCTTCATTTTATCATATAATTCTCATATAAATTTTGCACATTTAAAACCTAATTTTAACCCTTCATTTCCACTACGCACCTGACCAGGAAAAACTGAAAAATGGCTTAAACGTTGTAAGTCTAGGCGAACACATTCCCCTCCAGAATGCTCAAAACTGTGAGTTATTAGAAAACAGACCCATTATGATGTAAATTGAAGAGACAAAATGTAGCAAACATATGATATGTAGTGTCACGCTTAGACATAGTCAAGGCCTCAAATGATTCAACAGGTCAATCTCCACATGCATGCCCTAAAATAGAATAATGGATCACAAAATGTTAAGAATCGTATCATGGCTATTCTCTTATTGGCATAAGCTCTTGTCAAGTAGAATAAACTTTGTTTCACAAGAGTATCAGTTCCATGTTGTTCATTAACAAATCCAACACACAGGCACATAGATACATCAGCCTAACAAGAGATAACAGATACATATGTATAAATAACAAAGTGGCTATTTACCTGCTCTGAAGCATGACAGACTTCTCGTTTAGACGGCCTTCTCCATCACAACAAATCATGCCAACGGCAAAAATGCCTCTCTGATAAAGCATATTACTTTAAATAATTAGCAAAATTGCATCTATGCAAAGATTATTCGACCCAGTCACAGACAGAATTGATGCCTAGGTTAAAAACAATACAGCAAGACAATTTCATTCGCCATGAGCTGATAACTGGTGTTTCAGAATTGCTGTAAATACTCTATGACACAAACATCATTTTGCCTTTAATTTCTGTGTATGCATGAGAGAGAGAGAGAGAGATGCATTAAATTTACCTGTGAAGCAATTGTAGGATCCGTTGGTTCTTCATACAGCCCAGAAGCTACAAGTGCCCTTGTATGTTTCCTAATACGATTTTCTACTGCCTTAACCTACATAACAATAATCAAATTTCAACAAATCAATGCAAAAGGGTAAAGATCTAAGTGCCACACTAAATATCACATACCCTATCCTCGGTCCTATCATACATGAATCTGCAATCTGGTTTGGGCTCTGATCCATGAACCACCAATGAACATCTTTTCCGGGGTACAACTTTCCTGACAACATCGTCCTCATCATTCTCAGCATTCTCATGATTAGGTTCTTGTTCTCCATTCTCTACATCAGGCATAGTGTTGATGCTAAATTTCACTGCAAACCTATCTGTCCGCTTTGAAAAGGGTGTCTCTAGTTTTGATGGTTTTCCAGAAGATAAATTATTCCCATACATTAAAGATGTATCATGTACAGGTGAATAAAGATCTTGATGATGATCTGATGGAGTTCCAGGAGTATTATCCTTTGTATCGTCATCATTATTTAAGATCCTGCATAAAAGGATTTTCATTAAAATAATTTGTCGTTTGATAGCAATTCAGAAATAACATCAAACAATTACATCTGCCTTATCAACTGTAACATACCCATATGGGATACATTGATAAAACAAAAACCACCAAGAACCAGTGTACTTAATTGTCTATCATAATATGCAACCACAACCTGTGCTTTTAAATCAAAGACAGAGAATAGATATGTACAAGTGCAAACGCAACTATAAGGAATAGATAGAGGGAAGGGAGTTGACAACAGATAGAAGTTGTTAAAGATGCAGCGGCCAGATCATTTGCTTCCACATTTACACAATAATGCGAGCTATAAGGAGGCATATACAAACACCATTTAATAGAGTTAAATAATTATCTTCCTTATTTCTGTGCACTTTTCTTACTATACGCAGAAGAAGGCTTTGTTTATAGAGCTGCAAATTTCCTGTTTCACAAATGGATCAAAAAATATATTTTCCCTTAATTTAACCATTAAGGCAGTCCAATAGTTGCAATTCAAGCATTAGGTGTAAAAGACCATTGAAATATAATATGCAAACCAAGTAGGACATGCTTACATTTCTACATCTCTGATAGAGTAAGTATGCAAACCAACTTCCTCCTTTACAACATCTTCTTTCTTCTTATTTTGTAAATGCAGCAAAAAGCCATCCATTTCAGCATTTTGTACCGTTGGTTCATTCAGCTGTCTGTCAAAAACCACCATCCAAATTCAAATTGTAAATGACCTAGCAAACCAAAACACCTACACCTGATTTAAATTGTTAAATCAACACTTCCTCTTGGAAAAAAAAAAACTATAAAAAAATAAAGAAATTCAAATTGTATAACAAAATTATTGGAGTTTGGGCATGACATAACGCAGATCTCCTTTCTGTTCCTTGAAATGTTTATTTCATTTTAAAACAAATTACGCATTGATTTCTCCGAACTCCATAGCAACGTAAAACAGATCACACTTTACATTCTTACAAACTCAAGAATTGACAAACTGCAATGGAGTAGTACTTAGCGGCAGTTTCAAGCGTAAATGAAAACAGCAGAAGACACAAACCTATTCAGATAATAAACCTCCCAGCTTGAGACGAGATCGGAAGCGCTGAGACTGTAGTTGATGCAGAAAGTTAGACCTACACATTTTGCAACAGATCAAAAGATTAAACTATCTGTACGAATCCAAAGTGAATTGCGAGGAAAAGGAAGAACGATCTTACATTTGTTCATTATTTCTTCTTCTTCCTCAAGATCGAACCCGCTTTTTTTGAATTCTGACTTGATTTCCTCTTCCATTGCGCTCCCTCCTCTCTCTCTCTCTCTCTCTCTCTCTCTCTCTCTCTCTCTCTCTCTCTAGGGTTTATCTGATTTGACGTACCAAGAAAAAATGGCGGGAATTTTGCCGATTGGGTATATATGTAAATGATTTTTTTTTATTCCGACTATGCCCTTTCTACTGCACCCTATTAACAAACACACCATTGAAGTAAAAGCGACGAGATGCACTCACAAGTCACATCTTGCGCTTGTTCTTACATAATCGCACTTGTCTCGACCTTAACATAATTGGCATTACTTACTTAATTAATTAAATACATTTATGTAATTGGTTTTATATTCTTTAAAATTAAATTACTATGCAGATAATTTGCATTACTTAATTTATTAATTAAATACATTTATGTAATTGGTTTTATATTCTTTAAAATTAAATTATTAATGCAGATTTATTATACCCAACTATTTCTTTCTTTTTCATTTTTTGAAATGAGATACCAAACTAGTCTCTAGTATTATCATCTAGAAGTAGGGGTATTCATCAACAGATCCAAACCGATTCAAACTGTCGTGACCGAACTGAAAAATCGATAACCGAATAAATCGAAAAAAAAAACTGCAAATTTTAATTGGATTGGATCGATTTTTGGATTGGTAGATGAAAACCTATCCAATCCAAACCGATCCAATATATTAATTTTTTTTCTACCTACTTAAGTCTTTCCCCAATCATAGCCTAAAAATTTCTAAACTCAAGATTCATTAAGCTATTAACTAAACTCAAGAAAAAATCTAGTCACATCTCATCAACAAAATTTCATCTATGTAGAGTTTCGTATTTCATTATCCAAAAAAAAAAACTATATTTATAGTTTACTGATACTTTTATATTTAAAAAAAATAAAATTACAAAGTCAATATATACAAAAGATGTTTTTTGTACACTAATCATGAAACAAATTTTAAATTTTTAAAAAAATCAAAAACCGATCCAATCTAAACCGAAAAAAAAAGAATTGGATTGGACCGGATTTGAAAAAAAATTCAAACCAAATGGATGATTATATGATCAAACCGAAGAGATTGGATTAGATAATTTTTGTTTCTAAAACCGATGCAATCTAGACCACAAACATCTATGTGAAGAAGTATGAGTTATAATTTAGGGCTGCAAAATGCAAAGTTGAGCATTCCTGTTTTAGTCTTGGACTTAGTTATAATCATAAAATCCAAAGGGTTTATGTAACAAGCCTATATGACCATAGCCAAGCGACTGCACAAACGGCCCATATATCTCAACAATTACATAGTTTATAGACCGGGCCCAAAGTGAAAGAGAGTAGATAGGAATAGGATTATTATGTCTTACATTTAAATTTTAGTTTGAGATTAAGATCGTAGTTTAGTTTAAATTTTTGTCACATTACGTTATTGTCATTTTAATTACTGTAATTTTCATAGGATTGGTATTTGGTTTATAAATTCGGAAAACTAATTGAATGATGGATACGAAATTACTTGGTCCCGATTTCTTCTTTCCTTGTTTTCTTCTTCTTTCCCCTATGATTTTCCTCCTTCATTTATTGGTGCTTTCATACTTTTTCTCAGCCTCCCACCACCGATATTGGACTTTAAGGGAGTGGACGTTGTACTTGGGGTGCAATGGTTAGCCACCCTAGGTCCATTATGAACAGTTTATGCTCAACTAGTCATGTTCTCTACTCGCAATGGACGAAATGTCAACTTGTTAGGCACCGATAATACAACTCCCACAACAATTTCCTCACCCCCACCTGTAGCGATTATTTTCTATAAATTCTATAACCTTATGGCTTATATGTTTTACTAGTAGACAATCTATCTTCTTTCCCTCCACCAACACAAAATCCAACCCCATTATTACACACCTCATCCATGATGTACAAACCCTACTTACCTCATCCCAGGATGTTTTGTTACACCCAAGCCCTTTCCCTACATGTTATGATAATGTATTTTTAGGGAAATTATATTTTTGATCTTCTTATCCTTTAATCTCTTTATAACTATATTTTTACTATTAAATTTAAATTAAATTAAAGATAACATTATAAGTAGCTCGTTTCTTTATTTATGTAAGTAATTATCAGAATCTTTAGAATATTCTGCGGAACCAAATAGTGATATTATTACAAAATGTTAGTTATCAAAAAGACAAGATTTAACTTGATTGACCCAAAATCTGACTACGTCTATGCGAGATATGAAATCATATATGAGAAATTTCAAAATATACAATATGCAACACTCAAATTTTTTCCTAAAGTCAAGAATCTTGTATACAGCGCGCCTCTCATTATTTTTCATTTAATCAGAATTTTTCCTTTCTTTTTCTCTCAAATAATCGACTCACTCAAGCACACAACTACATATATATATCTTGTTAATTCTTTTTAAACAATTCGTCATCATTGCCTATTGGCATAGAAACAATATTACAGCCAATAATAATGGAGCCAACTAATTTACCATTATTTTCATTGATAATGGAGCAATCAATTTTTCATTAATTAACAATAATGAAGCCAATAAACTTGTTATTTATATTCACAATGGCATTAATCCATTTTCTATTATTAACAACAATGGAGCTAATTAATTTTTCATCAAAGTAATTAATGGAGTCAATCAATTTTTCATCACGAATCAAGCCAAAGTCTAATGTCCATTAACTTTTGGCTTCACATATCACGAATCAAGCCAAAGTCTAATGTCCATTAACTTTTGGCTTCACAATATATATATATATATATATATATATATATTCTAGATGATATAAAATTTGCGTTCTTGTAATTTTGCACTAAAATTTTCTTAGTGAATGAATCTTACCTAAAAAATATTGAAAAACATTTTATAAATAATAATTATTTGTGTATAAAAAAATTTAATTTATTAAATAATGTTGTAATATATGTTAAAATGTATCCATTTATATTTTTAATAATTTATAAAATTTATTTTGTGTTATTAAGTCTCAACATAAATACATGAACATTATTCTCCTGACAAGAACTGCAAATGGGAATTAGACGGGCAATGGGGTGAGAACTGAGAAGCACTACTCCCTTAAGGCTTCAGGGGTCCCTGAATACTGGGATAAATTGTTATCTCCAAACTGTGCCATTCCCGTTTATGAACCAGGATTAATTTATAACGTGACAAATATAGATACGATTTACACCTTAAGATAATAAATCAAAACATTTGTAAATTAATAAATAAACAAGCATGATTTCATCGAATAAAATATGGGAAAAGTATATATTATTTTAAAGAATGATCCTTTTAAGAGAAAAATATATATATAATGAGGGAGAGACAGAAAAAAATCTCAGTCTCTTTTTCCCATATGATTTATTTCTTTATCTCAGTTAAAGCATACAACTTTATATCCTATAAAATTATATATATTTTTCCCATAAAATATTAATCAACCATTTGTAGTATGTGTTCAATCCGTAGTATTGTGAAGTCGTCCTTACAAGAAGGATATAAGATAATTGCACCAAAGGAATTAGTATACGATTGCGGAACATTTCTTACATTTCCTACGGAGTTGATCTATAATCCATAAATGGTGCATGACTTTCTTGTTACTCGTTTTCATATGCTTACATTTCCCACGGAATTGATCTATAATGCATGTATGGTACATGTGTTTTTTTTTTTTTTTGTAGGTTACAAGGAATAGAACACACAATCACACACTCACACACACCCTATTACACACACCCACACCACTAGGCTAGCCCTGGTGGATAATTCTTGTTATTCATTTTCATCCATCAACATTGAAGTTAACAGAGAAATCAAAGCTTGTCTCAGTAGTTTAAGAGAAGAACTTGTAGTTCTTGGCTGACAAGATGATATTCCTTAGAGCACCGATTGGAGATAATGTCATCAACGCTACCCCAAGAACTATGCAGATCTGAAATTTAAGGATGAAGAAGAAAATCAGCTAAAGCCTTAATAATTTGCTAAATTGAAGAGGAGACTGTTTTAAATGGAAATCAACATACCCAATTGATTATCCAAGACAAGCTAAATCTCTTGGGTTTTTTGAGTTTAAGCCATATGATGCAGGGTAGCTACAAGTAGGGCAAAATAAGACAGATTAAGCATGTATATTGGCTTGGTGTATGTATATATATATATATATATATGATAATTGATCTAGGAGAATGATTCATTTACAAATTTTTTTTACAAATTACATTAAGTATGACCGGTCATATACTCTTGATTGAAATATGACCAGTCATATTGTAAGAGTTTGTAAATAAAAAGTTTTTAAATATAACATTCTCTATTGATCTATATTCTATAACATTCTCTAAAAAGTTGAAAGAAAAAAAAAAGAGTTTTGCTTACGAAGTATGATGTTGGGGCAAAGGCAAATCCTCCAAGAAATCCAAGAAGAGACCCAAAGAAGGGGATGGATATGCCAATTACCATTGTCAATGCTGCAAAAATAGGATAAAAATGTTAATTAAAAACCAATTGATGAAGTTAGCGATCTAGCCGCCACGCTAAAGAAAGTGTCTATGAGTAATCAATCACATACCAACATATATTGTGCGACATGATAGTCGGAGTGCAAAAGAGGGGGGGAACTTTAAGATCTTAACCAAGTAGGTTTCGATCATATCAAACACTGGCATTGCAAATACCTGTTGTTTACAGAGCAGTAAGAAAATAAAACATGATGAGAATATTGGCTAAAACACACCATAGTCATCATTGTTATTGTTGAAGTCCAAAGTTAATGGGGAATTGAATTCTTGTTTGATCCGTGCTATGAAAAATTGATTGGCTTCATTAATTACTTTAATGAAAAATTAATTAACTTTATTATTAATGAAAATAATGATAAATTGATTCGTTATTATTGGCTAGAGTAATTTGATTTGAGCTAATTTGCGGCGATGACAAATTATTTTATTATTTAAAGAGGTAAGATATTGAACATATATGCTTCGGTAAATGACTTGTTTGAGAGAAGGAAAGAGAAAAAAATTCGATTGGATAAGAAATAATAAGAGGGTGTATAAGAAATTATTGGATTTAGGAAAAAAAAATGAGTGTTCTATATTGTGTATTTTAAAATTTATATCTTATCTTTGGGTGAAATTTCACTATTTTAGGTGAATTACCTTAAATCTCATCTTTTCAATTACTATGATTTTACAATAATATCACTATAATCTCGAAAATTCCCAATAATCACTGGAATTCAAACTCACCTGATAGCCTCCAATAACGTGGATGACTACAAACAAGTTAGCAGCAGCGATAAGCCAAGCAGGGCGCTCTAATGTGATAAGGATGTTATCATCAACAGAGTTTCCAAACATATAATATCCAATCAATGCAACAGGGAAGTAGCAGAATGCAACTCCTATGTATGCCAAAATAACTCCTCTCCACATCGGTTTCTTTGAAGGATTCTCTGGGGTTGAAGGCATTGTTGCTTGGATTTCCAGAACCACATTGTGACCTGCATAAGCAAATGCTACATCTCCCAAAGCAGAGAAGAAGTTGAATACACCATCAGCAGTGCTTTTTGCTTTGAGGCCATAGTCCACATTTGGTGCAACCCCTTTTTTTATGGAAGCAACCCAAGCAATGGTTGAGTAACTGGGTTGAATAATTCAGCTTCATCATTATTCATTAATATAATTGAAATAAACAAAGAGAGTGATATTCTTACTACCAAAAAAACTCATTACCAACCTGCTACCTATCTAATCACAATTTTCTCAATCTTCACAAACTTTTCAGTATTTTCTCTCTGATTCAACAGTGATTAGATAGGTAGTGAGTTGATAATAAGTTTTTTGGTAATAATAATATCACCTTCATAAACAAAATAGAACATTAAATTAAATAGATAGAAGAAAAAAAAAGGTAGAGGAGGAATTTAATTACGTCAATGACATGGCTGCTGCACTAAAAGAGATAGCAGAAATAGAATTGAAGTTGGGGCATTGGGCAAGAACGAAGTTCACAGAAGCAAAGATGATAATCCAATATGAGGTCTTGATTTCTTTGCAATCAGGACAAAGGGTGTCATGAACCTTCTTTAATGATTTTCCTCCAGTGACCATATAGACAATACAAGTGCCAACTTCAACAACAACCTGTTGGGGAACCACAATCCAAAGACCCAGCTTCTTCCCAAAGGCTTGTTGCCCCAACTCATGATACCTATCGAATCTCTTACCAGGAATCATTTCGTGCATCTCAACCATTTGCCATAGGGTGTACAAGGTAATGATCCATGACATTATAAGGATGGTAACACCTGGACCCCTATTATTTCAATCAAAGGAATCATTAGGATCACAAATATAATGAATTAATAATAAGATACATTTAACCTCCAAACGAGCTTCTAAGAATTTGGTTGGGTCAGGGGTTCAAACCCTGTCTCAATCAAATTCTTGAAAACATTTTGGAGGTCAGAGGACGTGCCTCTCTTTTCGAAGAGCATTGTTCCAACGAGAGTTGAATAGGAATACTCTCCGGGTTATACAAAAAAAAAAAAAAATGTATCTTTAGAACATGTACCAGCCCATGTGTGTCATAGCATAAGGAAGGCTAAGGACACCAGCACCAACCATGGCTGTGAGATTATGGAAAGCTGAATACCACCATTTCGCTTTTCTGGAAGCTGTGACGGGAAGCCAATCATCAATGGCTTTCTGCTTTGAATCCTTTGATGCTGCAGCTGCAGCATCACTACTTTCTCCAGCGTGACCCATTATTTTTTCTTTTTGGTCTGAATCCTTGAGAATCAATTCAAAATTATATCTCAAGGAGTAATATGTATCTTTTGGTTACTGTGGGCGAACATATTCAGGCGTTAGAATCTGTACATTAACGTCCGTTAGGTAGAAATTGAAACGACACATACAGAAAGTAACTATAATTAGCAAAGCTAGAGTTGTTTTATGCTAAGAATGTCAGGTCCTATTCTTGGCATTTGAACTACTTTCTTGGTGTGAGCTACCACTAACTACATTTTCGGTATCAAACATGGGGTGTATAATTCTTTCTTAGTTGTTTCTTTCCGAGAAAAGACTAGTTTGAATTTACATAGTGAGGGGATTGTACAAGTGATGACTCCATCATGATAATGGTATCGCGGATTCCTTAAAAGGTTGTATATTCTTTGGAAAGGGTTGTATAGATATGAAATAAACGTGACTTTGGATTTTTATTTTCTTTTAAGCTAAAAAAAAAAGTTTTTTTTGTTAATTACATAAATCTTTGGGAAATAGAAGTAAAGTTATAGGAAAATGACTATGTCATACTATAGACACAACCAATGTAGACCCCATCATCTTTAAAATAAAAATAAAAATAAAAATAAAAATAAAAAAAATGGTAAGGTCCATATTGATTGTGTTTATAGCATGACATAACCATTTTCCTACAGCATATACTTCTATTTCCCTACAACATATACTTCTATTTCCCTAAATCTTTTAGTCTAAAAGTTATTTAAAAGCACACATTTCAAAAAAAATCTCTATTCTTATGGCTCTTCATTTAAAAAAAAAAAACACATTCAAGAAAAACTAATAAAGAGCTTAAAATAAAAAAGCTTCTCCTAGAAAATTTTGGCTTGACTTTTTTCCATTATAAAAAAAAAAGAGTTTTTCTCAAAACCTATTTGGTTAAACTTCTGCTTATAAGAGAAAGAAAAACTAAAAAAATGAGAGGATCCAAATAGATACTTGATAACATTGTGTTTATAATTACTAAAATAAATAAATAAATGGGGATTGGGTAATATGAACTACCAGCTAGACAAAAAAAGAAGTTTTTAATACAGTTTCTTGTAAGTGCTTGTGATATATTTAATAACATCCCTTTCGCCTAATTTTTTTTACCAAAAAAGAATATAGCATAAATTTTTTTTTTTTTTTTAATTTGATATGAAAGTCAATATTCAATTAAATCTCACCAACCAAATGTCTTTACTTGGTAAGCCTGTGTAATTACTGACAAATAAATTAATGAGGATTAGGTAATATGAACTACCTAGACAAAAAAAAGGGTCTTGAATTCAATTTCCTGTTGGTGTCATCCCTAAGACTTTGTGATATATCTAGCCTTATAATGAAATAGCTTTAAATTCTCCTAAATACTTTTTTACAAAAATAATAAAGCATAAAATAAAATTGTGCTCTAAAAAGTTAAATTTCACGGAATATCATTTAATTGGTAACACGGTATAATTATTATAAAATAAATCAATGATGATTGGATAATATGAACTACCTAGACAAAAAATTGTTCTATATTCAGGTTCCTGTTGGTGTCATCCCTAAGACTTGTGATATATCTAGCCTTATAATGAAATAACTTCAGCCTAAATCTTTTTTAATCAACAAAAGAGTAAAGCAAAAAAAATAAAAAATAAAAATAAAGGTGTGATCTAAAAAGCTAAATTTCACTCAAATCTCAACACGGGATATCATTTACTTGCTCACACCGTGTAATTATTAAAAAAAAAAAAACAAATCAATGAGGATTGGGTCATATTTGTTAGAAAAATAGTTGGAAAATAACAGGAGGAAAATAATCCATGTTTAAGAAATTGTTTGAAAAATTCACATGCAATAAAACGAAATTAAAGCATGGATGGAAAACAAAAAATTTAGTGCATGCAATAACATGAAATCAAGACGAGTAAAAAAAAATATCTGAGCGCAATGAATGTATTAGGATATTGATTGCTGGATTTGTTGTATAGGATAAGATTAGAATCTGTATAGAATAGGATCAGTTTCTGTTTTGTATTTGTATTTAGTTTGTTCATATTCTGTAGATCAGTTTCTGTTTTGTATTTGTATTTAGTTTGTTCATATCCCTTGATCGTAGGCTTACTAGCATAACAACTTACTGTAACAGGTCTATTATTAGATCAACATACTAAATGGAATGATAAGCTGCTCATTCATTTGCATCTTCCTTTGAGAATGCTCCTCACTTTCTTAATATAATTTGCTCTATCTATAATATATAAGAAAATTGACCAACAAAGCTTGAAACAGTTGATAGATGGCTAGATATCTTAAACATGCTGACAGAAGTTTGATCTGTGATCGTGTGTATAGAAAATTTTTGTTAGTAAAGATAAAACTCACTTCGATGATCTTTACGTCTCGAAAAGATTAATATTCGATTATCGGTTTGGAGATAGATTGAGGAAACTCAAAAAAAATTACTTAATAAAATTGAAAAATTACCTAGTAGAATAAAATGAATTTCCTCTCTTGAGCAACCACACTTTCATCAAGAAGCCCTTCGAACTCAACTAATCTCGGAGCAATCCCATGTAACAGATTCACAAAGAAAATAGAGAAGAAAAAATGATGAAAAAATATGCATGCACCAAATGCCATCCAGACTCCCTTATTTATAAAATATGAAATGACACAAGATCTCTGGCCGACGAGGCATGTCTTTTCATTTTTTTTTTACTTAACATATTCTTTATAACTAATTAATTTACAATTAATTTTAACAATGTGATCTAAACAAAAGCTTTCAATTTATTTCCAGTTAATGTAAAGGAAGATTTGTGATACATCTAACCTTAAAATAACTTCCCTTTCTCCAATTTTTTTATTTTTTATTTTTACCAAAAAAGAATGATGCATAAAAATAAACGTTTTTAATATGATCAAGTAGTAATATTTCACTCAAATCTTATCACCAAAATGTTAAATGGTCGGTATGATTGTGTTTTGTAATTGTTAAAAAATAAATCGACGAGGATTGCGTAATATGAACTAAACAAAAGTTATGCATTTGTTTCCTGCTAATGTCATTGTGATATATCCAACCTTAGAATGAAATAACTTCCCTTTCTCCTAAATCTATTTTTAGCATAAAAGTAAAAGTTTTTAAAGTGGTCCAGATTTCTCTCAATCTCATCACTAAATAACTCTGAACATATTTCTCAACAAAAAGGCAAGGGCTTCAAAATCATATCCATTCAATTACTTTTCAAACAAATAGTTTAATTTATAAATATAATTCTCAAATTTTATATTTCAAACATAAGTCAGGATTATCAACAACTGGTAACTTAACTCCTCCTTTGTCTTCGATTACCCCCCATTTATTATTGGGGATAAAACCTATTATAATAACAAAACATGCAGTGGTGTAGAGCCGGGATTAAAATAAGTATTAGTACTTTAGCAGATTATGTGAAGAAATTATTAGGATATATAGTCTCTTGTCATTGCATGCCAAACGTTTAATTTGAAAATGCTACAGCTTGAAAAGAATATAGTATAAAAATGAATTTTTTTAATGTGATATAAAAGTCAATATTCAATCAAATCTCACCACCAAACCACCAAATATCTTTACTTGGTAAGCCTGGGTTTTTAATTATTGAAAAATAAATCAATACAATTGGGTAATATGAACTAACCTAGACAAAAAAAAAAAAAAAATTGTATTCAGTTTCGTGTTGGTGTCATCCCCGAAGACTTGTGAAGACTTGTGATGCATCTAGCCTTATAATGAAAAAACTCCACATTCACCTAAATCCTTTTTTACCAAAAAAGAGTAAAGCATAAAAATAAAGGTGTGCTCTAAAAAGTTAAATTTCACTCAAATTGTTGGAAATCGATATATACACATACACAAGATCGATTGCAAACAAGAAGAGAGAGAGGGAATAGAAAAATAACACAATAATTTATCCTGATTCATCTAATATAAATTACATTTAGTTTGTATATACTATATTTGTCTCACTTATACTCGTTGCAAATAAATTTACAAGAGAATATAAATGGATTCTAAAAAATTCTTAAAATAATAACTATTTATGAGCCCAAGCTCTTACTATTAAAAAAATAAAAATACAATAAGTCGGCAATGAATTAGTTATGAGTCAGCCATAAGTCAACAATGAATCAGTCATGAGTTGGCAACCATGAGTTGACAATGAATGCAAATATGAAATATACTCATCACATATATCATCACCAAATATCAATTACTTGATAACACTATGTAATTAATTAAAAAATTAAATCAACGAAGATCGGCTAAAATTTAGTAGAAAATAAATGCAAAATCACGGGAGGAAAATAATTTATGTAAGAAAGTATTTGAAAAATTCACATGCAATAAAACAAAATTAAAGCATGGATGAAAAACAAAAAATTTAGTGCATGCGATCAATATTGTTAAATCCCAATATGTATCGTATATTGTTTGACTAATTTTTTATAGGGCAATGCTTTTCTCATGTTATTGGAGAGGAGAAAATCTCCTACACACTCAAATTCATGGTGGGGCCCACACATAAAAAATAAAGAAAACAAAAAAAATTATTGCACGCAAAACGAACTCTCAGTAACATGAGAAAAGAGCTCTCCTACAACATAAGAATTCTTTTTCTCTTTTTTATATCGTGTATCGTGAATTGTGTCGAATTGTAAGATATATAAATAATAATAAATTTTTAAAAAATATATTAAAATATTTATTTAATTATTTCCTTTATTAATACAGATTTTTCAAATTTATTTTTGAGTTTATATCACAAATTAAATCTTTATTTTCTTTTCTTTATTCATAATAAATTTTTAGATTTTTTTAATTTAAATCATAAATCAAATCTTTATTTTCTTTTATATTATAAATTATAAATTTTTATTTAATTTTTATTTCGTATGATACATGATTGGTATTATATCGTACGATATAGTGTTGTATCGTCTGA